AAAATTAGAGTTTCCCTGAAAAATACAACTAAAATTTACACAGAATCTGATAAAAATACAAAATTTATACAACTATAATTTTCAAAAAAACTGAATATTCTTATTGCAACACTGAAAGCAAATGCTTCTGAATGAAGGAAACTGGAAGAAAGAACAACAGTTTTCAGAAAATCTACTTCAAAGGAGTTCAGTGTTCAAGATGAAAATATCAGGGCATTCTTATCATTCAGTGCAGTTCTTCAAATACTACAACAAAGAGAGAAAAAATAACATGTCTAGTGTCTGTGAAAAGCTCCTTATTTCAACTGAATGGCAGTATAAATCCAAATTACATTATAGAATGACATACTATATCGTAAGTGGATAGTCCAAAGATGTCTCCATTGAATCTGTTTAAGATTCAAGAATTTATCCAAAGGGGTTTATAGACATCAGTTAGACATTTTCAGCATTGACAAATCAAGTTTCATTCTATCTCATACCTTTCAGACACCTAGCTTCTAGAGATGTGCAGTTACGAGGGTAAGGTGAAAAGTTCTTAGCCTGACCCAAAGATGATGCTCCAATTAGCAAAAAAATTATGTTACCTACCTGGGTGCAGATGTCATTAGTTCGTATGACAAGTTTCAACTTGTTCCCTCAAGTGGTTTATTTACACGGATTTTTGCACTAGACGTCTTGCATGTTATTTGTTAAAATGGATATAACTTGAATACCGTGCGGTCATAAAATTGTTCATTTTGGGTGGATTAAACCCTAAGGAAATTCATCCAAAGTTGATAAAAATTTATGGGAGCTCTGTTCCTTCTATGCCAACTGTGAAAAAATGGGCAGCTGAGTTTAAACTTGGTCGTACATCCCTCAAAGATGACCCACGTGAAGAACAGCCAAAAACCACAACCACATCAGAAACCATAAAAAAAAGTGTATGATGTTGAACAATAAGCAAGTGAAGGCTGTGGGGGATATCTGAAGAAAGGGTGCAAATCATCTTACCAATAACAATTTTCACAGCAATCTGTGTACCAATTCAACAGTATCCTACCGATTTTGTACGGCGATTTCTGATGTACGAGACATGGATCCATCGCTACATGTCATAAATTAAACAACAGTCCAAGCAGTGGGTGGAAGCCGGCAGTTCAACGGCAAAGAAACTGAAGTCATCTGCTGGAAAGGTCATGGCCACTGCAGTTTGGGATGTAAAAGGGATACTGTTAATTAATTACCTTGCGAAAGGGAGAACAATTACAGGTGAATATTACTCCAACGTTCTTGACCAGCTGGATACCAAAATTTGTGAGAAGAGGCCTGGCTTGAAGGAGAAAAAATCATCAGGACAATGCACCTGTACACAAGGGTGCATTAGCAATGGGAAAACTGCAGGATTTGAGTTATGATTTGCTCAACCTCCCCTCCCCCAATTCTCCTGATTTTTCACTCTCAAATACCCATGCTGGATACTGGACCGAGCGTATTGAAGTCAAGGGAGATTATGTAGAAAACTAAAATAATTTTTCAACTGAAAGTTGCAGTTTTTCATAGTCAGGCTGAGAACTTTTCACTTTACACTCAAAAAGTCTTGAGGCAATAAGGCTTTAAGAAATACTCATCTTCAAGGCATTAATAATTTTTTAAATTATTCTGAAATATGGATAATATTTTAACAAACTTAAAGTAGAATGGATATTAAATGAGTACAAATAAGTCTCTGCCATTTCACAAAAAATGGCAACACCAGCAAGTTACAGGTAAAATTGTCTCGTGTAAAACTTTATATCACAAGGTTGGACATCTGCTAAACTTGAAATAGCCATTTGGTATCTGCATCATACATATATATTTGTATGAAAATGTCAAGTTTTGAGCCAAATGAGCATGATTTGTGGGAACTTTTGATTTACTTCTTTCATTTGAATAAATCTGCAGCTGAAGTGATTTGATTGCTTGTTGAAGCATGAGGTGAGGCTGCCTTAAGTGAGAGAAGTTGTAAGTGGTTTAAAAAGTTTAAGAATGGTTAATTTGACGTCCAAGACAAAAAACACAGTGAAAGGATGAAGGTGTTCGAAGACATGGAATTGGAAGCATTATTGGATGAAAATTCAATGCCAAATGCCAGTAGAACTTGCATTTACATTAAGAGTGATTCAAAAAACAATTTCACATTGTTTAAAATCATTGGGAATGATTAAAAGGCAAGGAAATTGGGTGTCATATGCAGTGGCATAGGTAAGGAGGGACATCTGTCCCTGGGCGCAGCATACAAGGGGCACCAAATTGATGCTATGAAATTTTTTAATGAAATGTTTTCCATTGTTAAAATGCAGAAAGAGACACAAATTCTTCAGTTTTCCCTGGGCACTGCAAACTCTAGCTACACCCGACATATGAACTGAAGCCGAGAAACATTAAAGATACACCCCCCCCTGCATATGCAAAGTGAAAGGGAAAGTGAACTAAGTTTACAATGTGAATTACTGAAAAAAGCTCGCCAATAATTTTTCTTGAATTACTTTGTAAGTTTCTCACCAAATTTTAGGCATAATTTGAGATATAAAATGGAAATATGGGGAAAAAAATTAACATGTCATGCCAGAAAAAGTTTGATTTTATGTCAAAATATGAATGTACTATACTATAAATAAATCTATCGTATATTCCAAGTCACATTTCCAAGATATCAGAAACACAAGTTGATTTTTGTCAAGCTGAGTAGAACAGGAGATCATGAACTGTTCCATTTGTCATTTTTTGGGGGGGGGATTTGATGTACTCTTGTGTGGATAAAAATAACAATATACCTTATATTGACATTAAAGCAAAGTTAAAACACAAATATTTTACTGATTAAACATTGATTGAATGCCTATTTACATAGTCTTACAAATGTCAAAAGAAGATTAAGCCAATTCAGATCAAATAAAATTTAACAAGAGAATTACACTGAAAATCCCTAGAGATGAGCAAATGAAATTTTTACAATTTAAGTCTCATTAATTCAATAAATTTCATTTATTGTTGAAAACCACTTAGTAAAAACTAAAAATTAAAGACCAGGAGATTCATTGATCTACTCAGAGATCAGGAGATTTGATGAAAACACGAGAATCTGGGAATAAAACTGGGAGAGTTAGCAGTTATGTGCAGATATATTGTACTTTCATTTGCTGCATTCTCACTGTGTAAACAACATATTCTGATAGGCATAATAACTTAAACTTGCATAAGCAAAATCCAGAAAAATATCAATTTTTAGTGTCAAAAACTTCAAGATAAGAAAAGCATTTTGAATGTTGATGCGCTAAGTGTTTTTAGTAGTTAAATTTTGAAATAAAGTAAAATACACACCAACTACAGTCATGACAATACAATTTATTAAGCCAATATAAACACAAAAGTTGCACAATGCAAATGTTACTTTTAAAAGTGCATTGGCATATCAGCCATAATTATATACAATTTTGCATTATTCAATTGCAGTACAATTAACAAATTCTTAAAAGAGGAACATACAAGCTTATGTGGCTCACAAGCATCAGAACTGTAGCTCCATCAGCAGCTTGCAAATCCTATTTCCATAATAAATTTTCAAGAGCATCTAGCTAGAAATATTTTTAAACCTGAACTTCATGGGAAAATGGGTAGAATGTTGTTAATCACAATCAAGCATTATTATGTACAAATGAACCATTTTCCTCTACATCTATTTACTACACTGCTAATACTTTGCACAAAATTATAAAGTATGCTTAGAGGGCAGCATTTTATTTTGCTATTTATGGGGCAGAATGCTTCTGCAATGGTCATGAATTTTCTTTCAAAAGGGTCATGTTTGTTAAACATATGTATCTAGTGCAACCAATAATATCTACTCAATAGATATAATTCACACTTTGCTTCATTGCACAAAATACAGTATCATAATTTATAAAATGCACAAAGTAAAACCTACCCCACAGTTTGAAATTAATAGCAGTGTTTAAAATTTATGTAGAAATGCAAGAAAAGCACTTCCCCAAAAAATATTATATTACATCTGAATTAAAAAAATTACATCTTTTCCTCACATTTTTTATTTGATACAACTGAGAATTTTTGGTACTGAATTACTGAATATGTTTCAGAGTGTGAATTTGAAATTCAACTTTCCGGTATCATACCATAGTTCAAAAGTATATATTAATCTAATTCAAACATGCACTAAGCCCAAACACACATTCTGAAATATCAACAATTTCAGAAATATTAAAATTGAAACAGCTGGAGTATGGAACCTGAAATTACAATAACAAGATTGCACAGAAACACAATTTTAGATTATAATTCGAGTTAAAAAACTTCAAGCATTCTTATTAAACAAATTTATGATACAAAATTGTAAAACTTATGCAAGAGAAGTAATATATTGTATATTAAAATACCAAGTGTCAAATTAAAAATATATTACATAGTTTAATATCTGTTTCCAAGCTTTGTAATTTTTATACATCAAGCTCAAAAATAACAAACGAGCTAAAAATTATATATACTTTCACACTATTTCATGCAGAAATACAGAAGAAAGAATAAGTTTTGCAAAAAGTGATCAAAATCCACAAAAACTGAATGATTAACTACATAGAGAACAAGTACTGAAAACGTTTAAAAAGAGAGGGGAAAAAAAAAAAAAAAACATATCACAGTATTTTCAACCATTGACAGATGAAGAAATTATTTCACCTTATATTATGAAATTATATGTACAGTACTTATAAATATTTTTTTCTGTATAATGAAAATTTCAGTTTTGATAACAGATCTTAAATAATAATATTTCTAATACTAATAATTAAAATAAAGAAAACTAAATCAAATCAAAACTAATTTAAGTCAAATAAATGCTTAAAATTAGTTTCAAAATATTAAGATGCTGAAAAATGTAATAAAAATGGCTTTTCTTTTTACTGCAAATTTATACAGAAAATATTTCCGTTACATATTCCACTTAAAAATTAAAGAAATTTTTTTTTACACCCTTAAAAGAACACACACAATAAACAAGAAACATCTGATGTACATAAATGATTTTTTTTTTCATTTAAATACATTTTGCCTAATACAATGCAGGAGTTTGTGCTTGAAATTTGGAGAAAAAGTAATATTACTCCACACAAATGTATTTTTTTTTCTTTTTGCAAAGAAAAATTATACAAATCACTAGATAGAAATCTCATAAGAACTTTTATAGCTCAAACTGTGGTGGAAGCATACCATAGAAAAGTCCCAAGACACAACATACTTTTATTATTTGGTTGACACTAAAGCTGATATGCCCGACATTCAGAAATCACTCGAACACAACCAAATAAATTATAAGTCCAAGAAGGGAAATATTTAATGAATTAGAACTTCCAACTTTTTTCTAACAATAACATCTGAAGACGAAATCTTGATCAAAACAGAACTGTACATAAAATGTAAGTTTCCAGCCATTTAATATTTGAATATGTTCAATTAAAATCAAATAAAATGGCAGGAAATCAGGTCAAAGATGTTGAAAATCACAAGCGGTTTATTTCATTTATTTACTTATTTAAAGACACTACTTACACAAATGTAGTAAAGAAACAAACATAATAATTTAGCTATAATTGGATTAATTTCAGTTGTGGACAGCTACAGCTGTTAAAAAGTATGACTCTTTTTTGGCTGTTACAACGTACTATGATGTACGATGCTGAATTTAGCGACACTCCCATACTTTAACAGTCTGATCAACACTTCCAGTAATCACAAAAGGAGCAGTATGATGAAAATCTGAAAAATTAATAATGGTATTAAGTATATAATTTAAGGAAAACTTTACTTCTTTAACTCAGTTCATTCACCCCTTGACATACAAATAAAATATGCGTCTGAAGAATACCATTTAATATGGCTTAACTGTGGGCACTCATGTGCAAGCTTAGAAACAGAATGTTTTATTTCCAAACTTACACTGCTATATAACAATAACAATATACTGCGTGGCCATTTGCTGCTGACAGTTCTTAACATCTCAGAAACATCTGCACCAAACTTAAGTCTACAATGGCACATGAAATCAATGACAACTTCTGAACGTCATATTATGTCAAGGGGTTAATTTAACAAAAATAATAACAAAAAAGCAATTGACTGCTAAAATGTTTAATGAGAATTTGATAAAAACATGTATTACCTCCTTACTTCCACAATCAACAAAAAATTAAATGAACTTATAAAGTATGAAAATAAATGAATTAAAAAACTTTTAAAACAAAATATTTTTCATTAATTATCTGAACACATTACATGTATACCTAAATATTAAAAACGTATGTTAATACAAATGCTCAGATACAGATCTCGTGTAAACATGCATCTTGAGCACTGCTAATATTAAAATATCAGCATTTCTTTATAGCCAAAAGGATGACTTCAAAGAAAATCGAGTGGTTTAAATACATTACAGCTAACTTTATTTCCCATTTTTATTAAAAATAAAGTATGTATAAAACCTGCAGCTGATAATCATTTAATAACTGCAAGTCATAAATGTATGTTAAGTTTTCTGAAGATTTTATTTATTTTGCAATCTACTGAATATTGGCAAACTGCTTACAAACATTTAAAACATCATATAGTTTAAAGAATGTTCTATACCAAAATGCCATAATCTATTATTATTTATTTCAAAACGATATCAGTTTAGAAGATTAGCACAGGAACAAAAGGCCAATAAAAATTACAAAGTCTTATTCAACTAAGTTGATGGAGGAACCCCTGGCATCTATTAGTTCAATACAGCTCAGTTATTGTTTCCAAATGAGGAGTAAATCTATCATTGAAAGTAAAAGATCAAAACCCCACAAAACCTACAGTGCAGACTCATTAGGAAAACATCAAAAAAAGACCAACCACAAGATTATAAAAGGAGGATAGAAACATAAAACCATGTGAAATAACAAAATAATAATCTCTATGATACTGAATACTACAGCAGTATTCATATATCTACTGCTGAGAAAAGACAGATTCAAAACATAAAGCATTTTAGTGTCATTATGATTTGAAATTTCATTTGTGTTCGTGAAAAGTATTTGACTGAAGATTGCTGACTAAACGAACACTTAAATACATTCATGTACTGTAAATGAAAATGCTACCTTCAGCTGCTGACACATTCAAAAATAGTAATTTAATCTTTCAGTAACATAACATGACATTCCATTAAGCAAGAATAGTACACATATGGTTTGGTTATAAACTAGCCCAGTGATAGAAAGAACCTGCACAATTAAACAGACCTTAATTTGACTGAAAAATTTTAAACTAGATGTTACATGACTAGAATAATAATAATAATAATAATTAAAAAACATGCACAAATGAAGATATTATTTTATGTTGGTATCAATTAATTAGCATGAAAAACTTGTGAATTGTGGGTTTAGGTGTGTGTTAGAGATAGAAATTTGCATTTCTCCTGTTCGCGATTGCGCTGAGCAGAAAAGGCAAACTATATAGTTCTGCAGATGGTTCCTGCCAAGGAGGAGACAAGGAGCTGTCTTCCCGATTCTGAGGGTCCTGATGTCTGACCTCCCTGCTACGCCTATCTGATAATGTTTGCCGATGTATTCTCTTAAGTTTGGTGCAGAAACGCAATGCAAGGAGCCCTACTAAGGAACAGTTCAGAGGAAACAAGAATCTATTCAAGGCATTCTGGATTATCTATCTACATTGCCAAATACCTGCCTATAAGAAAAGGACTGTTAAGCAGGATCAATTCAAATTGTACCAGTCTAGTACATTTTGTACGTTATCCATCGTATAAGTTCATTGATGTGTCAAAGCCTGACGCGTATGTTCATCTATGTTGTTAAATTTTAAGGATAGAAGACACTGATTAAATTTTATGTTAAAATTTTCAACTTGGTGCAGTTTATACTTCTGTATCAGAGAACCTCGCTTCTAAATCCACCATTTTGATGTTCTTACACAACTCTAAAGGTTTTTCAAAGAACACCAAAATCTTCAAATACAACAGTGTGCATGCCTTAATAATTAAAATAGATGATTCCCAGAATGAGTATAAATTGTTTATATGTTTTTATAACCAATATTCACTAAATAAACAGGTTTTAAATTTCAAGTTTCACCCTTTTTCCTTTCTTCTTATTTAAAAAGTTTGGTAAATTAAGACCCTCTAAAAAAAGAAGAAAAAATAAATGCTAATATTTCACACCAGTCAAATTTTTTCCATAACTGTGTTCAGAATTATAAACATTATTTATTATATTTATAAGTAGCATTACTTTCAAATGCGTTTAAATTTTCAAAATACATATGCAGGATATTTAAACCAAGCTACATTAAGAAAAATTATGAAATTAAATCTAATTATCTAATTATTAAGTTATCAAATCATTCATACACTATTTCTCATAAGAAACTAATTATAATTCATATAGTACTTGATGATATGAAGATGAAATACTAAAGAATGTTGAAGGCCAAACTGTGGCCACAGCTTTTTTGATTACCAAGGTTTCTTTCTACAGTTCACAGGTAACTGTAGTATCACTACTAAGACACAATCAAAAAGAGAACACCTACAAATTTTCAGTAAATATGAACTATTCACAGTTCTATTAATGTCTGAGGGGAATGAAAACAATAGCTTCTCCAATTAAAAAGATTGCTGTAGTTTGGATTACATGCTGTGCTTTGATAGTAATCTATCACAACAGTTCAATACACAGAAAATGACTGAAAATAATGATATTTAACCACAGGCCCATCAGAGCTGTAGCTAGGGATTTCAGTGCCTGGGAACAATCGAAATTTTAGCACCCTCTTCTGTTTGCCAAGAGTGGAAAATATTTCATTTTAAACATTTACAACATCAATTTGGCAGTCCCTGGATGCTGCACCCGAAAACAGGTGTCCTCCCTGTCCCCCACTCTAGCTATGCCCCAAAGGCCAATGAACAGCTAAACACACTAAAGTTGAACAGCTCTCCATTGAAAACATGACGAAGAGGGGGGAGGAATAATCCTAATATACTTCATTAACACATAAAAATTACTGTCTCTTTTATCTTTACAGCCAAAACAATACATTTTTGCCAGCACGGTCCACTCATAAAATCCTAAAATGGTACATAAACATTTCCACTAATGTCTCCTCATTTGCCAATGAATGAGCTCCAAAACATGTTTGCTGTTGTTCACTTAAGTTTTCACTTCAAAGTTGCCCTTAGCCTTGATGTTCAGTCATTCATCAAGGTAAAGGGCATAACAAGTTATATTATATCTATCTACTATATAATTTTTTATTGCTACCTTAAAAACACTTTTCACTCTCTTTTTCACAACAGGCATGTTAAAATGGACCTCAAATGACTGAAAAATGATTGTCTGGTCTGATAAATCTTGCTATCTGCTAAAATATATGAATAGCTGAGCATGTTTGTTTCTTTTATTTAAAAAAGGATCAAATATGAAACAAAAATTAATACAGGAAGTATAATACTGTGAGTAACCCTCTAGATGTAAAATGTTGGGTGTTGACATTTATATGGAGAAAACTTTGATACTTATAACTTACATATCTTCTTAAATTGCAATAGTTCATTCCCCTCTGAAAATGTCTTCTTTCAGCAAAATTTTCACAAGCTGTACTGCCCCTGAATACTTCACACATGATGGAGAGTTCCAGATAGAACCAGGTTTAAAGGTTTTCTCAGACAACAATCCACATGGCAAAACTGGGGGAAATCTTAATTAAAGCATTGAGAGGGTGTTCCATAAAAAGTACCATAATATTACATAGTGTTTTGGGGAAATTATAAAAAACAAAATGCCACTAGAATAGAACTGACAAACGAAGAGGTTCTCGACAATAAGGAAATTTCGCCCTGAGAGGATTTCATAGTTTCAAGGGGAAATGCAGTCAACCTTTTGTTTATCTGTTAAGTATTCAGGTTTAGCTTATGACTACAAAAAATTACTTTTATTCAAGTTTTAATTAGTTATCAATATTTTCTATACTTTTCCTTGTTTATTTTTTTAACATACATTAAAAAAGATCTAAATTTAAATAAAAGTATATGTATTTTTTGAGTTTTGGGAAAAGACAGGGGATGATTGTCCAACAAAGCTATAAGGGGTGCATGGGGCAAAAAGGATTGTGAACTACGAGGGCAATCCCCAAAAAAAGGTCTCCTATTATTTGGGGAGGTACGGTTGTTGGCAACACTGTTGTGAGTGGTGCCTTCTCCGCTACCACATAAGCACGCAGGCGCTTCGCTCGGATGCTCAGTCTTGGCTTGGCAGCCATTCGAAATGGAGCTCCCGATAAACGTTACCGCCAAGTGCGAAGTGCATGCAGTTATTCGATTTTTGAACGCAAAAGGCGTTAAACCGATTGAAATTCACCGTTGACGGAAGTGTGTGGCATGTTCAAACATTGACGGAAGTGTGTGGACAGTCGTCATGGATGTCAAAAACGTTCGCAAGTTGTGTATAGTTTAGAGTTTAAAATTCAAATGACGAAGGAAAGGCCCTGTCAATTTCCGACGAGACAATCGCGAAAGTTGAGAAACTCATGCGTAAAGGTCGGAGGATCACTCTAGATGCTCTCTGCATTTTGGTTCCTGAGGTTTCCAGAAGCACCATCCACAGGATTTTAACGGAAAAGTTGCAATATCGGAAGGTGTGTGCAAGATGGGTGCTGCGTATGCTGACAGAAGACCACAAACTGCAACGGGTTGATTCTTCCCGCGAATTTCTTCGCCGCTATGGTTCTGCTCGGATGATGAGCGCTTCCTGAAGGGCATGACGGCAAGCTGGTATGACATGGGCATTGTAAAACTGCCACAGCGTCTACAAAAATGCATCGACCAAAATGGCAATTATGTTGAAAAATAAAGCATTCTTCAATCTTTAAAGTGATGTAGCAACTATAGAAAATAAACGGTTCTTTGTGTATCTAAAAATAGACCTTTTTTTTTTTGGGATTGCCCTCGTAACTATAGGAATAACTAAACTATAATTGGAAATGCTATAGTGGGACTTTGAAGTTACCCATTTCTTGAAAGAAGCATTGTACAGAACCATCCTAGTTACACTTCTTTTAACCTCTTGAATATGCCTGGTAATACAAAGGTCTTTTCTTAGCCTTTAAGCTAGAATTATGTAATGGTACCAGAGAGAGCACGACACCTTTAGATATTTTGTTACTTCAATGCATTAACATAACAAGACTGATTTGGAAGCATATTATATAGAAGATACTCATCATATTAGGCAAGAAATATTTTAAATCTTTAGTGTACCTTTTACAATACCTCATGCCATTATCCTAAAATTAGAGGCTGTTAAAAATACTAAAATTTTAATCAAGGTAACACATGCAAAATTTATTTCTAAAGTTTTTCACTTTTGTAACTATACTATCTTTCGCTTCTGCTTAAAATTATTAAAACAATAAAAGAATTTTTATTTTGCTCCTCCCCCCAAAAAAGAAAGAAATGAAATAAAAAAGATACAATTCAAATTTTCTGAAATTCCCAATTAAAAATAAATGTAAAGCCCAAACAATAAGACCAAAAATCTAATTAAAACTTTACATTTGGTTTTCAATAAATTTATATTGCTATAAAAGATAACACTATGTATACTAACCTACTGAAGTGCAAAAGTGGGCATGTGCATCAATTGTTTTACTGCAGCGCTTGTTCTTCACATCCCAAATGCGCAGTGTTTTGTCATCCGATGCACTGACAATATATTTGCCTCCCGGATGAAACTTCACACCCCTCACCCAGTTATCATGGCCGATCTGAAGATTAAAATTAGTAAATATTTAAAACAAAATTAAAAAATTATAGCTGACAAGTTTAAAAAGAGTCTGAAAAATTTTCCATACCAAAGTGAACAAGCTTAAGCCAGTGCTGATATCCCATAACTTAATTGTTTTATCACGAGATCCGGAAATCAGGAAAGGACCAGTTCTCACACCATGCTTATTCTACAATATAAAAAATAAACCTTATTTTACCTGCAAGAACCATACGAAGATAAACATTAAACATACCCAGAGTGATACTAAAAACTATTCAATAAAGAATGCAATGTGTAACTAACACTATTACTATAATGCTAAATGTCTCCTAGTCCAACATTATCTCAGCACCTGATATGAATTCATTGAAATATCACAAATAATGGTTGCATTAAACAACAAGACAGAATTATTCATATAATAAGACTATTAATCTGCTTGCCATAGAACATCTTAAAATTTACTACAATAAATGAAATTATATTCCGCTTAAATAAGAAGACATTATTAGAAGTACTAAGAAAAAAATAAACCAATAAAAACTTTGCTTAGGTTATGGAAATTACTGGGAAGTTACTGCTAAAGTACTGTTTAACCTCAATTTAACATTTTTCCCTCCAGTTTTATTATTTTCAGATTCTCTCTAACAAGAAATTCCTATTCTACTTTACTAGTTTTCAAGTTTTCAAGTGAAGTTGGCAGGACAAATATGAATGAGGACTTTTATGAGGAAGCACCACAAATCAAGCAAACCCCCCCCCAAAAAATCAAACTATTTGTAAGATTACATATTCTATAATTTATTCTTTATCCTATTTCAATGTTTTACTGTTTGAACTTTTATTTTCATTTTTAAGTTCATGTTCTCCATCATTTCTCAGGGAGGATTATACTCTGTGTGGAGCAAAAAGGCAGAAAATAGATCATAAGAGGTTTGTACAATGGTGACAGACATTGCACTAACCTCTTATGAGCTTTATCAGTCTTCTGATTTATTCTGGAACAATTTTTCTTTGGGTGAAAATGAAAAGAGACATGCATAAAAGTATGCATTCTCAGTAAAGGCAGGGAGAAATGACAATTTTGTCAAGTGTAAATAAATGCTCATTAAATTCTCCACCAGTTACTTAAATATATATATATATATGTATATGTTTGCCTCATTTGGCTCTTCCAGTGGCAATCAGCAACTGAAAAATATTCAGCAGATATCGAGAGAGATGTGAATCTCACTTAATCATTAGAATTAGACTTCAAAGATTCAAATGGCTTAACTGATCACTTTAGATAAGAGATATAACATAGCCTAAAGCTTTCCTGTGAAAAGAAAATGTACTACACACAGCAAAACTTTCTATAATATAAAGGACTATATTCCAGATTCTTCGTTTTCATTAAATCAAGAGAAAACCCACAGCAATGGAATTGAATTTGTTGTTCTGTAACTAACAAATAAAATGAAAAAGCTTTCACTAAAGAATCCTAAAAAAACAATTTTTAAAAATAAAATACAGTTTCTGAGAACTGAAAAATTTTGAATAAGTTAAATATTACCTGAATTATAAAATAATGTAACAGGGAAGCCGGAAGCTCAAGCAGAAGAGGAAGCATACCTAACAAAACTACATTCTTAGAAGGTACTTTGATTAATGAACAATTATTGTGCAACACTTGAGAGTTATTTACATAAAAACAGGGATTTCTTAATATGGCAAAATTGACTCTTCATGCAACACATTATGAAAATCATAAAAATTCACACAAAGCCAACCTGTTCACCAAATTCGCATCCAAGGTTGAATTAACCCTCTGACTGGCAAGATATTTTACTAAGAATGACCAAATTTCTCAAAACTGCCATGAGAAGAGATTTTTTTCTTGATTTTAATGCCAAAATGTTTTTCTTTAAATCTGTATTTATATCCTTTTAATACATCATCTTAATTTTTTTGAACATATTTCAAGATTTATGTATGTATACCTTCTTATAAAGATGTCACAAAATAGACAGTCTTGCCAGTCAGAGGGTTAAAAATGTTCATATGACAATAAATGAACAATTAATCAGAGAATGTGTTAAACAATGATTACTTTTCTCACTAGAACATTCATAAATAGGGAAAACTTTCCTTCAAAAAGCTTAAAATTTCTTATTCATATATATTTTGGGGATTCTTCTATTGAACAAACTTGATAACAAAATGCGCATTTTTTAAACGACTAAAAACCACTTTTAAAATTATCTAAACATCCATTATATATTTCTATATTATAAGTCATTTTTGTGGATAAGGCAAGAGAAAATTTTGCTCCAAAAATTCAGCCAAAACTGAAAATTGATGCTTAAGGTGAATTTAAAATTGCCTTACAAGTACTGTTATATGAGCACAGGCAATAAAAAATATTAATTTATATAGATTCCATTCACCAAATCAATGCTTCAATCAATGCTGCAAATCAATGCTTCAATGATTTGATACCATAAGCTTGCAGCTGAAAAAGCCTATAACTGCTATATTTTGCCAGAAGTTTGAATAACTGGTTCTCTATCTTAGCTAGGCTTATCAAGAAAGCTGAAGGTGAATGCCAAATCCTCATCCATTCAAAAACTTGCCAAAAAAGATCACATAATTGTTAAAAAATGCTGCATCAAATAATGTTATACACAGAACCAAAAAAGTTATACACTAAGCAGATAATAACAGTGTTAATGGTAACATGGAAAACACCACCATTTATCTGGACTAGTTCAAAACAGAGACAGACTTCTGAGAACTGCTAGAAAATTTCAAACTGGATAATGATGCTGACAAACTTGATTAATGCATATTAGAATTAAATAAGATAGATATCATGTACATATTTTGCATATAAAATTTAATCTGTATAAAAATTGGTATAATAAATCATGATAAATGCAGCATACATAATACATGTCTTAGATAGGTGAATACTGCACTAAAACATTTAAAGTGTTACAAATAACTTGACTATTACTTATTATTTCAACTTAAAATTTCCAAATCACAAAATTTTAATGATTAAAAAAAAAAAAAAAAAATTCCAATGGTATAGCAGTTTCTTTGGAAGCATCAACAAAACTTACATCTACACCAGCAGCGTCATTGATGGCAGGAGCAGCAGATTCAGGAGCCCAAGCTATGCATTCTACCACATGATCATGCTCTCGTAACTCTAGTTTACATTCTTTTGTGCCTACAACCCACACACGTACTGTCTAGAGGAAAAAATTAACAGACATAAGTAATATGAAAAAAATTCATAAGAGGGGGAACTCCTGCCCCCAAATAATAATAAAATGAAAAAATGAATAATATAGAATAAAAAAAGAATATATCTCAATATTGCAAAAACAATAGTTTACATCACTTAATATAGTTATTATGTTTTAATATCCATACCTTCAGACCACAATAATTTTTTTTTCTTACAAATTCTAGGAATTAAGAAAAAGCAGCAGTGCTATAAAAGTGATTTTTCTCCCAACTAATCGAGATTCCAGTATGTAACTTTCAGATACTTGTTGGTTAGGGAATCACACCATCCATGGCTGTTGACAATACACTGATTGATTTTAGCTACAACAACTTTCAGCCCTTGAGAGGTTTAGCATTTTTCTATCTGACCTAAATAATCTGAAAAGCCCCAAAACATATTTATTTGGAGTGGGACGTTACGGATACTGATTTTCTTTCATTGGCATAGCATCAAAAAAGGGAGAAAGAATGGATTTTGAGGCATCTAACTTACATAGCAGTTAAATAGCAAACTACACTCTTCCTTTAACTTTGATTTGCAGCAGCTTAATTTTATTGTTCCATGTATTATTAATGTTATTAAAATTTCAGTTTTTAGCAGATGATAACATGCCTGTTTTAAGCTTTTCCTAAAACTCTACATCTGTCTATCAGCTAATGGATATCAAAGTTTTTTGTGTGCACTGAAATGCAGAGATGGAATTTTAAAAACCACTGTTGATTTTAATATAAATTTTTATATGTGGGGTATTGAAAGACAGAAAACATTTCTGGTGATGATATTTAAAAAAAATGTTTGGTATAATTTATAGCTTCCGGATTTCATGATAAGAGCCATGAATCTGAAGTCTGCATTCATTATGCTTCGAATATCATGGGGGGGGAAGCGAAATTTTCTAATTGATGGAGTATCAGAAGAAATGTTGAATGAAAATGATACAAATGAAATCTTAAACCGCTTCAGTCATCAGTCTTAATGAAAAGGCGAAGTACGGCTTGAAATCCAGAAAACATCACCATTGCAGCTCTGAGACATGTTCTAACTTCATATGATGGTGAGTTGGAAAAAAAAATCGTTCTTTATGTCAAATACATTTTTAATTATTACAAAAAAAAATGAAATTAAAACATCAAACTCAATTAGACCAGAGATAGCAAACTTGTTTATTGTTGCAAATATAAATCAGTAGCTAACACCTATCATGTCCATGAAACTGAAACATCATGAGGCTAAACTGTTGAGGTATTGTAAAAGCTAAGCTAAAACCTCATTAAATCTTATTAATTTAAAAACTGTGCTTATGTTTATAGTGGTATGATGAGCACAATACCACTTAAAAATATTACCCGGCAGCTGATGCTCAACGGTTTATTTGAGGTTGACAACCTCAAATAAACTTTTTCTGCACTAAAAGTTTATTCAGCTGGAAAAATGCATGTGAATAATAAAGATTGACTCACTGATTGATTAATCAATTATAATAATGTAAGCAGGGCACTTTTAAAATGAATGTTGCAAATTTTACTTAACATGCTGAAAGAGATTATTTCCTGATCTACGTTAAAGATGAAGGGGGAAGAAATGAAGCTATAAAATTCACAGGATGTAACAGAATTGAAACTAATGATGAAAAAATGTTAGGATAATTTTAGGAAAGTCAAACAAGTTTCAACATAAAAATTGCATTTAGCTTTGGTACTACATTCCCAATTAGTGATTATTTCAAAGTTAAGTATTGTCTATAAAATTGTGTATCATTCCATTTTGTTCTTTGTTTATTGAAATAATTAATATGAAGAGAAATATTTCTCATAATTAAGAAAAATTTTACCAAGGTCAAAATGCGGCTTCACATCATGAACAATTATGACAAATAATTAGATACTTGTGCATAAAAAATAAATCTATAACTGGAGATAGCTTTACTGATTTTACAAAATGAGAGAGAAAACAGGTAGTGGTGCAGCAAATTAATAATTTTGATATGATAGAAAAAGATAACTTGGACATTCAAAATGTTCAAGGTCAATGAGATGATAATGTGGCCAATAAAGCTGGATTGTACGGAGGTTGAAATCCGTTACTTGACAAAGAAATGAACAAGATAAATACATTCATTGTTTTGCCCCTGGTAATTCAGCAAAAAAATGCTGTTTCTACAAATCCAAATATGTTATTATTTTAATTATTGTGTATCTTTGATGAGTCCTTAAATGTAGGTAAAAAACAGCATTTAAAGGTCATATAAAGAATGGTATCAACAGAAGTACCTTAGCTGTTAAAAAATAAGGCATCAAGTGATAGATCATTGCAATAAAGTGAAATTATAGCATTTTAAAGCAAATCAATTTTAAATTTAAATGTATGTTATTTACATGAAATATAATACTGCAAGAAACAAGAACCCTAAATAAAGCTTCAAAATTTGAAAATCTTCATACAAAAACTGTAATGATATAAAGCCTCGTACTTTTAAAGATGTTTAATTCTCACAAATAAATGGAGATATGAAAAATTAAATGAAATCCTTTCCATTTCTAACTAATCAAAAATTAATATCATTGAATTTATATAATTTAAAAGAAGAAATTTTTTTAACTTAGCATTTAAAATCTTGAATAATATAAATGCTGCAAAAATTCAATTAGAAATATTCAGTATTAAATTCCAAGCTATTTCAGTAATTCCAAACACTAATGCAGCTGGAAGCCATTACAGCTCTTCAATGCAATTCATAATAAATTAAATAATAATACTTTTTAATGTTATAACTCTTAAATAATAAATAAAAGGTTAATTAGTCACATCCAAATTTGGAAGCAGTGCTAAGAGTATTTTTAATGTTACCTCTTACTGTTGTTAGATATGAAATAAACTTCATTCAGAAAATGCAAATAAATGAACAATTATTATATATGATCTTCATTTAATGAAGAAAAACTTTCAAAAATGGACATTCTTTCTACAGAACAAGAACTAAGTTATCTGAAACAATTATTAACAATTTTCCTGTGTTAAATTAAAAAAAAAAAAAAAAAAAAGGTTCAAGATCACTGTGGATCTGTACTTCATAGTTGCTTGACTAAATTTTCATTTGACAGAAGCACTAAATGAGATTCAATCAACTCATTAACACCTTCATTGTTGACTTCCAAGTTTAATTCATTCAATAGGCTAACTATTTTACCTGTTATACTGATGTTTCTTCAAAATTTATAAAATCATTTATCATTTGAGGGCATATTTATTTCCAGGAACCTTTCACTGTCGACTTATTCCTGTCTTTCATTGCAATTAAATACTCAGAGAGGAATTCACCAGGTTTTAAATATCATTTCTGTAACAAATTATGAAACTGTACACTATTTATTTTAGAACAAATTCAGACAGATTTTTTTTAACTTGTCTTATGACATAACACCTTTCAAAGTCCAAATAAATAATTTAGCAAAACAAATAAGCAAATTTTAGTAAACATAATCTTTTGCAATCCAGATACCCCAAATAGTTAAAAAAGACTCTTCTAGATCACGAATGAATGATCTGACTGGATATGTATCAGTTCCATTAAATTCCAAAACAGTTTCTAAAATGTCATGAAATATTAGCAGGTATCATAATGTTTTGACCTACTGAATTATTTATGGTATGTGCAGACTTAACAGAATTAACATCATCATTGTTATTAGAAGCGAAACACTTTTGTTTTTGGATAACTCATCATCATTATCAAGTTCCGATTCTAAAAGCTTAAAATCAGAGACTCTTCAATACTAAATTACAGTTTTTATAAGCATTTCATTCCTAATTAAGATATAACAAATTACACACAGAAATGAAACTGCTTGTACAGAAAATCTGAAGTAATGTCTGTTTCGTTTCCCCAACATTAAAGTCAGATATAAAACCCAAAGTCACATAATCTAGATCTATTTTTCCTGTCACCTACAGTTCCAAACATAATTTAATGCAAAAATTTAATACACTTTGTGGCACCAGCTCTTAAAGAGTCAGAAATTCTAAGAACAGAATTAAATGTTGCCATTTTCACTAGCAGTATTTGCTATTCTTACAAGCAGCAATATACAAATAAATAGTTTGAAACAAACTTACTAGTTTCAATATCAGAATCGTTACATCTTGTCACATCCAAAGCTAATTCCAAATCGAGCATGCACAAATGTAGACTATGTCTTTACATCATATAAATCACTTCATAAAATTGCAAAGTCATTAGGCTATTTTGAAGCAGGAGATGCGAAAAAACTTAGTAATGCTCTTACTGGGACTCAAGCGTGCACCTTTCGAATACGTGCCAAGTGTGCTACTGTTACACAATGAAGAGATGCAGAAAGGAGGGAGAAAATGCCTTATCTACTTCCCCTTTTAAAAGGCAATTGGGGATTAGGGGACCCAGGTGCCAAATCCTGGTGGTGAAGAATCACTGTTCATCACCCTTTTGGTTCAGGTGCCACTTGTAGAGTCATTGGGATTTTTAAGTAGGAAACACGAAAAATGAGCAATACCCTTGCCGGTACTCGAATTTGGACCTCTCGAATATACGCCGAGTGTGCTACCATTACACCATGAAGGCATGCAGAAAGGAGAGAAAAAAAGCCTTATAAAATGCCCGAGAGCTTAGCGGATTAAGATACATATACATATACAAGAAGTGACTATTTAACTTGTACATTTAATGAGGACTGTCAAGGAAATATTTACAAATGTAGACGAAAATTATTTATAAATACAGAGAAGTTCAATGTCTTTTACCACAGAACAGCATCTTATACAACAAATCTTTTTTTTTTTTTTTTTTTTTTTTTTTTTTTTTTTTTTTAAATGGTGGCCTTATCTGTCACTTTTACCTGCAAATAATTCCATCCCATGTCGGGTTATGCCATCTACCTAAGTAGAAAATGACTTCACAGACGCTGTTTCATCCAGACAATGTTTAAGAAGACATGTTTATATGCCCGTATACATTCAGACAGACTGCTAAAGACAAATGAAGACCAAATGAGTATTGAAGAAGAGATAAGGCCATTATTTCTGAAGTCAACAAAATGAATAGAGATAGATTGCTGACTAAACCCCTAAGGCAACTTTTCTCTCAATGCAACTTAAAAAATTCTCTTTTTTTCATATATATATTTTTAATATCCACTGATGATAATGACACTCTTCCAGCATGCAAGGATACATGCCATCCAGACAGGATAAGCGCCTTGGGATAGGAAGTCATCTTCTACCACCAATAAATAGTGCTGACCACCAGTGGATGCTATTTGCAGGTGAAACATACAAGGCTGCCATTAAATGAAAGATGTGCATAAGATGGCTGTTCTCAAATGTAAAAAACATCAAAATTCTCTTCTACATTTGTAAATAATTTTCATTTCATTCCATCTCAGTATATAATCATTTCTTTGATAATCTTCAATGATGTACAAGTTAAACAGTCACTTTGTGTTGTTATACATATTTTACTCCTGGACAACCACTATGTTTCAACTATTTTATGAAGTTACATTCTATCGACACACATAATGTTTAATGATGCCATTAGAAAATATTAGAATCTTTTGCTTTATTTAAATATTCTACAAGAAATTCTAAATGTTTAAAAATGCTTAAAATTCTCTACACATCAAAAACTTGAAAAATAGTAAGTCAATAAAAATTTTTTACAAACTGAATTCTCAGTACTTACTTGATCATTTGAACAACTAGCTAACAGAGATCCATCTTGATTGACTCGCACCATTCTCACCCATTCTCGATGACCCGTGAATGTTTTTACACAGTAGCTTTAATAAGAAATGTCATAATTTTAAAAGCAGAACAATTTTAAGATAAGATGGGAATAGTTTAATAAAATGCACTTGTTTTTAAAATTATATTTTTAAACGTTACAAGTATTACCCCATTATTAAATAAAATACCCAATAGTGACTTGCATAAATGTAGATTTTAACCAACCATCTGATTCAATTCAAACTTTCGAACTGTGACATTACATGTGATGTCACAGACCATAAACTAGAAAAGCAGAACTTATGGCTGATGAGCTTGATATTGGCCTTAAATCATGTTTTGTATTCAGACAGTTTTCAAAATAAATAAAATTCTTCAAAGGACAATTGGCAACAATCCATGAATTATTACATCCAGTGATGATTACTTTGTAATCTTAGAGGCCAAAAGATACTGACATCGAACAGCAGAAGTTACTATAGCTTGCTACATAAAAGCAGAATGCTTGACAGTGATTGTGGCCATAATACTCCATAAAGGTCAATTGTTAGTCTAATGGTCAACATGCCACACTTCTTCAATACCTGTTCATTGCTGCCTGTGCAAAAAAACACAGCCCAATGAAATACAGTATTTTATAGTCTAGATTAGATTATGTTTCAGCAAAGATTTTCGACATTCATTAATCTATGCAAGAAATTTTCGGACATTATCACCATATAAACATTACTGAAAAATTAAAAAAGATCCAACACAGCTATACGTTTCTTACCTGGAGACTCACATCTGGATTATCTAAACATAATATCTGATACAATTATAATCAATGCCCATTTTATAGTGAAATAATTTTGTCCTATAAAATATGCATTCCAAAGTTTATGTATTATAACACCCATCATTCTGCAGCTATTGTTATACTATTTGAATGAAATTTACACATCTAAATCTAAATTCCATTAAATACAACTGAGAAAGTCCTGGGCAGACATCTCGCAACATGTTCACACACACTAGTAATTTATGCATATATTGTTATTACTATCTGATTTCCTCGGTACATTAATATCTTCCAAGTAGTCTTTCATACAAAACAGACTACTTCAACTGAAAGCTTTAAAAACCCATCTATTCCTTAAGTTTTAAAAAACAGGCTATAAATTTGTATATGTTTTCTATCTATTACTAATATAAAATGAAAAGTAACTTATGAATTGATTCAGAAAAAGCATGCTGAAAATACACCCAGATTATATATTATGTGACTTATTCTACACCAAAAGAATATCTCAATAAACAATACATTTCAACAGAGCAAACCTCAATGATATTTTATGAGTAGTAAACTGCCAGTTCTATTCTTTGGTAAATGCTCATGCAAGAAAAGAAAAAAATTCAAGATTAATTGCAAAATAAATTTTATTTAATTGACAGTTAAAGGGTGGAGAAGAACAAGAGAAATACTTTATTATTAATATTCTTAATAAGATTCAGCCAAAAATGTTCTTTGGAACTACTTAGAAATCAAGTAAAAAAAACTTAATGTAGTATATTTATTTTCACTACAATATATCCAGGGGCTAGTCAGGTAATTCACAGATTTATCTTTTATCTCAAAACAGCATTTTATTTGGCATCAAACTAAATCTGCCAATAAATGTGCAACATTTCAGGATGACATCACTTCAGTTCAGCACAGGTTCCTTCAGTCAACGCTACATCATATATATACAACACTGAGAAGGTATTGGGGCACTTGTCTTAGAGTAAAATGGCAAATCTAAGTAAAGGCAGGTTTGCACCCATTTTTATTTTAAGTTCAGAAAACTGGTTACACAGACTCAACAAGATGTTGAAGTTAGCATTCATTAAGAATACATTGACCCACACAATGGCATATAAGTAGTATTCACTCCTGAAAAAAACAGTCCAATGTCAGTGAAGGATGACCCTCATTCTGACATTTTCCATCAATAGAAAGGAAGAAAAAATTGCTGAAACTAAGGCTTCCATAATAGATGTGAATAAAAAGTCTTACATGCAATATGGGCTGCTGGCATGTAAAAGGGTCAGAAAAAATGCCCTTTGGAAATTGGAATTGGCCCCTTGATAATGCTGAATTTATCAAAATTAGTAGGTATAGGTACAGCAGAAGCGGTCAGGATACCAAAAGTTCCCCATTGGTCTGGTTTCTGCCACACTAACTATGGAGTTCCATCCCAATTTTGACTTTGAACTTCTTTGGGGGGGGGGGGGGAATTGGTGGTCCTCTATGCCCGTACTTATCTGACCTTGCCTCTTTATAATATTTTCTTGCTTCTCAGGTTGAAGGCAAAAAGACACTAACAGCATTAAATAAGTGACATGAAGGTGCTTCACAGCATTCTAACACAAACATCCAACATTTTAAAGTGAAATGCTAATGCTACAGTAGAAGGAGAAAGCTACTTTGAAAATGACAGCATAGATTAATTGTTAAGTCATTCTAATTATTTAAAAGCAAAAATTCAACATGAGAATTAAATTAATGATGCTTATAAATAACAATTATTTAACAAGTTATTCAACAAAATAGCCTTTATCAATTTTATGAATCATTAACAATTACTCAAGGAAATACTCACCCAGTTGATACTTCCCACATTTTTATAGTTTTATCCCTGGAAGACGACACTATGTGATCTCCACTAGGTACAAATGTCACAGACGAAACATTATGATCATGGCCTAATTTAGAAATTAAGATGCTCATGCACACAAATACAAAACAGCAAAATGAAATTAAGCATTTAACACGTGGAACAAAAATACAAAAATCTTATGAAAGTTTACAATTTTCAAACACATTTCAACACAAAAAGTAATAGATAAGACAATTAACATTAATATTCTACTCAAAATCAAATAGATATAAGGACTTGCATAATTTAAACCCATCATTAATGAAAGACTTAATTCAAAATACCGTATTTGATGGCATATAACATGCACCATTTATTTAGAAGGCCACACACATGTTAAATATAGAAAAAGTTATGTGTGTCTAGATCTTTATCTGGGCTAAAAATAGCATTCAGTATTGAAAGTTAACCTGTGTCCTTCACGTAAAAGACACAGATAACTTTTTTGAGACCAAATTTAGGAAAAAAAGTGTGTCTTATATGCCGTCAAATACGGGACATAATAATTAATTTTTACATTATGAAAATTTGTACAACCAGTTTATGAAGATGAAATGTTAAATTGCATTATTAATGTGGGGGGATGAGCAAAAATGGTATCTACTGTTATATTTATTTCATGCTCTGCCTGAACAAACAAAATAATTAGCATAGATTAAGTTCAGTAAAAATTTAATTCTACTGAATAATCAGCAAAAATTTCATTTTACTGAAGTTACACAGTAAAATTTACAACAGAATAAATAACAAAAAGTCACTTTGGATACATAGAATATTCTTTTATAACAGGAACAAAATGTGCATCTAGAAGGCTGCACGGAATAAATAACCCAAAAAATTTTTAGATTACGAAAAGATTCGGAAGATAAATTAGTATATATTATAGAAGTTCGGACTCCATCTTTACCAACAATTTTATTATGTTTGCCATCATTTAATAGTAAGAAAAATAACTAACAATGGAGGGTGGGAGAAACAGGATAAGACAGACAATTAAAAATTTTTTTTATTTCATAGATACCAAACAGAGATAAGAAATTAATTAGCGTAAATTTCTCAATTAACTAGTATAAATCTTATTAATTTTGAAAGCACTGCCTGCTTGCTCTTATGTCTGATATCATAATATCATGGTAAATTTAATTGTCAACTGGATTTTGAAGAAGATGAATACCTTGATATAACACAGCAGATATCAACTTTCTGAGTATGGAGGGGAGATTCACTGAAGAAGAGTGGATTATTGCAGTTCCAAGTTTAGCAGTTTTGGGAAGATATATACGAGGGCTATCCAGAAAGTAGATTACGTTTTGGAATAAAAAAATAAACAAAGTATAGGAAACAAATTTTATTATATACAGATGAAAGCCACACTCAAATACTACTTTTCTACATAGTCACCATACAAATTAAGGCATTTATCGTAGCGATGTACGAGCTTGGAAATTCCTTCGTCGAAAAATTCGGCCGCCTGCGCCTTCAACCACTTCGTTACCTCTTCTTGCAGCTGTGCATCGTCATCAAAACGCTGCATAGCCAGCCACTTCTTCATTGCTGGGAATAGGTGGAAGTCGCTCGGTGCCAGGTCGGGACAAACTTCGCGAAATTTGTGGAAAACTCAAAGAAAGTTCCGTTATTGTGAAATTTCGATTTTCACGGACTTTAGCATCGACTTTTTCGAGAAGTTCGGCGGTCACTATGCTGGGTCTCCCACTTCGATCTTCGTCGTGAACATTGGTTCGGCCATTTTGAAATCTTATGACTCACTGACGCACTCCACCTTCAGTGATAATGTTGTCCCCATACACTTCACGAAGCTGCCGATAGATTTCTATCGGTTTACAGTTTTTTGCAGTCAGAAACCTTATTACTGAGCGCACCTCGCAGCTCGCGGGATTTTCAATTAACGCAGACATTTCAAACCGTCACAGTATCTGAACGGAGCACAGCACGAACCTCTCACTAGCACGGCTAGATGCAGACTGAGCTGCGCAACGCTCTGACCCCAAGATGGCCGCGCTAGCCCCGCCCCTAGCGGACACAGACGGAAACGTAATCTACTTCCTGGATGGCCCTCGTATACCCACTGAGATTAAACCAACCTCATCTGGAAAGTACGCTAAGTCAAGCAGAATGATGTCAATAGTAATGAAGTTCAGGCAAAGGCAATATTGTATGTGATTAGAGTAATCTACTTCTTTTAATTCTTGGAACACTTGCATGTGATACTGGAATAATTTTAGTATTTTTCTCATGGCAATTTAGACTCAACACAGTGATATTTGCTTCACTTGGCTGACATGTCACAAAGTTTTGTGAGGAGATCTTGTCATGGTGTCTTGAATATTACTTGTCTATTAATACAGACCTTGTACGCCTATTTTTAAACTACACACAGACACAGTTTCATGGAATTTCTTCACCTTTCCATAAACTGTACTTATTGCTGGAAAGTTCTTCCCCAAATTTTCAGAAAATTTAGTATAGTGTTTTCTTAAGCAAATTTATTCTAAAGAAACATTCCACGATTAACAGCGTTACCAAGTTGCTTGGTGAGGCCAATTTAAGTGCAACAGTATTGACCACAATATAAAGACGCAATCAGACTTTTCTCAGACATAAGTTTCTATAAATGAAGAATATCTTTGTGAAGGAAAGGAAAAGTGATGAAGAGAGCAAAGAGCAAAAATGACCTGACAGATGTGTCTGGTAAATTTTATTATGGAGTAGATGGTACTGAATGATCAAAAGAGAATGAGCTAATGTTAGAGTATCTTCATAAAACATAATATTTAACCTTCCCAATAATAACATGTAAAAACACCATTTTATGCCTGGGATGTTTTGATGGACGATGACATGAACAAAGAATCAGCAAAAAACACAAACAGGACTCTTATACATATGTGGGAACTGTAAGATTGTGTAAGAGTGCCATCTGTATTAGGGTATGGTCAGACGAGATGTGAACGATAGCGAGGACGGACATGTACAAAATGTTTTGACAATTGTTCTTTTATTTTCATTCTAATGTAAATAAAGAGATCCTAGTTTAACTTCATGAGTTGTAGTTATGCTTATCATCAATTCTTCCCTATACTTTGGTGTCAGAAATGGTTTGTTTTTGATTACGTGCCCATAGCTGGATTATGGTGTGCTAGATCTTGATCATCATCGCATCTGCATTAATAAAGTTGGCCTATTTTCTAAAGGATTACAGATGAGCACTTTATGTTTATCAGTTTCATTTTGAATGTATAATTGTTTCAAGTAATAAACATGTCTTCATAAGAAAATTTTGAAAAGTTAAAATGAAAGCGTAGTATTGAAAGAAGCAGTACCACTCAACTAATTTCAAGAATTGATATTGCTTTAGCAGATGAAAATTTTACATGTGATATCTTATACAAACATCTAGAAGTTTTAATAGAAAAAATGAATAAACTTCTTAGATAGTCAAATTGAATATTTCATTGATGTAAACTTAAATGAGGAAGAAGTAAATACTAGTACTGATTACCAAGAAAAATGTCTCAGGTATACTAACAAACTTAAAGGTTTATTGAAACAGAAAGACACTTTTACCAATTTGTCGACATCTGAAAAACTGTTAAGTACTCCAAACGTTAGTTTAAATTTACCCTCTTCAGTTAAACTTCCTAAGTTAGCAATCAAACCGTATTCAGGAGACCCAAAATTGTGGAATGAATTCTGGAATTTGTTCAAAACCATTATCGATCGAAATGATTCACTTTCGAAAATTGAAAAGTTTGCCTATTTAAAAACATACTTGACTGGAGGAGCTTTAAGTGTAGTATCTGGTTTTCAATTAACTGATAAAAATTATGACAACTGTGTAAAGTTACTTAAAGATGATTTTGGTCGAAAGTATATTATCATCGATTCTTTTATGAGTAAGCAAAGTGTTAAAAATTCTTCAAATGTTCCAACTTTGAGAAAGTTATATAATGAGCTTGATATAGCTATATGAAATTTAGATTCACTGCAAGAGGATTCAAAATCCTATGGTCCACTTTTGTTTTCAATTATTCTAAATTTATTGCCAGAAAACCTTGTTTTAGATTTTAAGCGAGACACACATTCAAAATTCGATGTAACAATTTCTGATCTTTCTTTTTTAAAGTGCGAAATTTAATCTCGTGAATCTACATTTTTTGCTTTACACAACAGAAAAGGTTTCTCAGCAAATTCGAGTAATTACCAGTCATTGAAATGTTATATTTTGGTCACTGACAAACATCGGCATACTTGCCAACCTATGACACTCAAAAATCAGGAGATTTTTTTAAAGAAATCAGGACATTTTTCACAATGTTAAAAAGACTTTTTAAATGATAAAAATATAGTTTTTAATAATGAATTAACTTTAAATGGTAACTAATTCTTAAAGCAAGCAACACAAAAATACCTTACACGTAAAAAACATTTTATTACTTGCATCGTTTAAGAAAACAAAATGACGCATTAATCAGTTTTCGTACAAATGTTATAAACAGTGGCAGATTCCGCTTTCTTTAAATTGGATTAAAATTAAAATTGGGTTGGCGGGAGAACGGTCGAAAATCGGGAGTCTCTCGCCTAAATCGGGAGAGTTGGCAACTCTGCATCGGGTTCCAAAATGTTTAATTTGTGGAAATTTCAGTCATAAATCCCTTACCTGTGTTAAGAAAACTCAGAAGCAAAATGCTGACAAAAAATTCAACATCTGAAAAAACGAATGCTGTCACATCAATCAACTTTCATGCCTCGAACCTACTCCATAAAGTAATCAAAATTAATATTATATCACTCACCGCTATCACTGGTACACAAAGCGAAGCAATGGTTCCCTCTAATAACATTTATAAACAAATGGGGAATTCCTCTTTAAGTGTGTTTCATAACATGTTGACTGGCTTTGGTAATGACAAAATTAAACCAATGGGTTATTTTACAGCTGACATTTTAATAGATTTGGAATTATTCACAACTAATATTTATGTTGTAGACATTAATGTAATACCATTTGAAGCCATTATTGGCATG